AAACGAAAAAAAAAAAAAGAACCACATGTGCACCAAATACATTACATCGATAACAGCAGAATCTTTGATGGTATCTGGCAACTTGACGGGCTCGTCGATCCTGGGCGGATCCCGCGTCTTGTAAATACAGCTCGACCACTCGCTGTATGAACCCGTGCACACGTAATAGGAATCCGTAACTTCCAAGGTCCCGCCACAGATTTCACAGTTACCCAACGGCCCGTTAAACAATATATCTTGGCTGCATGTTACATTTCTTACTTAAATACTTCACGATAATTACGAATAATCAGATGAAAAATTTTTGCCTCTCAAATAAGTAAAACTCGACTAACCATCGAGGCACGACAGCATCATCCGACCCGCTCGAATCCTGACCGTTGGCTTCGAGAATCTCGCGCATCTGCTGAATCGAGAGGTGCTCGCTTGTGGCCTTACAGAACTTCTCAAACTCGGCTTTGATCTCCTCAATAGACTTCTTGCTCGGCTGCCCGTCCTCGTCTTCCATCTTCGCCTTCTTCGGAGACTGCCCGGCTTCCGATTCTGCCTTTTGCTTCCTTGTCACCATTTTTTCCTCCTTCCCAGGGGCCTGCGCATGCGACCTCGTCTCGTGAACCTTTTCGGCATGCCGAAAAAAATGTTAGCTAATGAATTTAGCTCGGAAAAAAATATCGAAAAATTCGATCACTTTTGGTTAAACTAGGCAAAATCATCAACCGCTTGACACATTCAAGCGATAAGCTCACTCAAATTTGTAACAATTTCTCTAGTAATTTCCAGAACCCAATTCTTATTTTAATCAAACAGTTTAGATTCAGTAAACAGCAGGAGAACATGCGGCAAAGGAGAAAAACAAGGCAACAATAACAAGAAACACTAACCTTCATTTTCAGAGTGCTTTGATTTTCTGTCTGAAGCTGAACAACTTAAAAAGAGCTATAAAAACAGTCTTAAAATCAAGTGAGTATGAGGAAAGAGTGTGATAATGAGTCGCGGTTGACGTTTAAATAGACAAACACTGTTGTGCATGAGGTGACACGTGTCTGCTCATGGCTATGCTCTGCTCGCCACGCCTACATATTACTAGCTTCGGTTCTTGACATCTGTTCAGTTTAACGACGCTGTAAGAAGTTGTACCTTGAAGTTGTCTGTGTATTTTGTAGTTATCTGGTGATTTTAACCCACCGAATGTTTTTATCGAGATTTTTTTTTTTTTTTAATCATTTTCTTCTCTTCGGTTGATAACTCTGGGTAATGCCACCTGCACGCATGCATGCAGAAATGGGTTCTATTTTACATCGGCACGTGGCAGCCTTATGGAGCTTGCTAGACAAAAAATGTTGCCATTGACTAATTTATAAGAGGGCATTTTGTACACATTTGCAATAAATGTTCATCAATATTAATTGGTCCATTGTCCCTATTTGATCATCACGATTCAGCGATTCTATTTACGTACGAGGCCAGAAAGTGTTAATTAGTAGTTTTTGAAGTCCCACCGGAAAATAAATCTGAGTTTTTTTAGTTTGAAACAAGGGCTTTTCTACAGTCAGGTACCCTTGTACTTTGGCTTGTACTTACCTAACAACAGGTACCTTTTAAATGAACGCCATGTGTCCT